TTTTTTTTTTTCCTTTACAAACTGACAGAACGCAGGGCTCTCTTCTAGCGGTGGCTATAGCCAAGGTGAATGGCACTGTCTTCAAGGAACTCAGCTTCAGGCAACTCAGAATCTGGGGGGAATCTCCCCAGGTACGCTGTGATGTGGAAGACCCCCATGTCCAGCCCTGAGGGATGTGTGCCATAAATTTTGGTACCCTCCATAGGATGCATTGTACATAGCCATTAAGTGGTGTTTCGGGAAAATATTGATGCTTACTGTGTAAAGTGAGAGAAGATTGTTAATAAGGTTGTATATTATACCGTGATCTTAATTCTGGGTTGAGATAGATATATTTGAAAAGCAAAATATACATACATATATTTTTTCTTTTTTTTCTTTTTGCTTATATATATAACAAAATACTAACTCTGGTTATTTATGGTTAATAGAATTCAGGTTATTTAAATTTTATTTTTGTGTTTATTTTTCATTTTTTAAAACAATGAGCATCAAGGAAGGATGTGGGTTTTAAGCTTTCAGAAAAATGCCACAGGTGTCCTCCTTACTTGAGGATCTCTTTGCTTTTGATGGGTGGTTTGATGGTTTACACAGATTTTTTTGTTTAATTAGGACAGAACCACAAAGCAGTTTCTCTTTATAAAATAAAAAAGCTCTGTGCATTTTTCCTCCATGCATATAATTCAGCTAGTGTGAAAATTATTGTCATTCTTTTTCTTTCTTTCTTTCTTTCTTTCTTTCTTTCTTTCTTTCTTTCTTTCTTTTTTTAGTATTTATTTTTGAGAGAGAGAGAGAGAGAGAGAGAGAGAGACAGAGCATAAGCAGGGGAGGGCAGAGAGAGAGGGAGACGCAGAATCTGAAGCAGGCTCTTGGGGCTCAAACCCACAAACTGTGAGATCATGGCCTGAGCCAAAGTTGAACCCTCAACCGACTGAGCCAATGGTAATTCTTAATTTGGAAAAAAAAAATGGGTTGTCACATCAACAGGAACTTAACCTGTATAACAATTACAGAAAATCAAAACACCTGGTTCTATTTGTAACTCTTACTACCTGTGTGACCTTGAAGGTACTTAAGCTTTAGGATATTGTCTCCCCAAGTGTGAGTCCCAAACCAGCAGCAGCAATATCTCCTGGGAGCGTATTTAAAATGCAGGATCTGGACCTCTGCCTCAGACCTACTGATACAAATCTGTAAGAGCCCCCAGGTGATTGGTATAAATATTAAGTTTTCAAAGACATGGTCTATGGGCCTGTTCTCCCCATGCTCAAATGATGGTGATACTCCCTACCTGAACACCTTGCAGGTGCGATCATGGACAACAAATGAGACAATATACATAAACACGATTTTAAACTGTAAAGACTGAAAAAATGCCAACATCTAATATGTCTTCTGATGTGAAAGACTGCGATGGAATAGTAGTTGTGTTTTTGTATAAAACGCTTCTTAGTTCATGGCAATCACTATAAGGGGATGTCTCTTTCCTATCTCTGCTCATGACACTCTGACGATATTTTCCAGATTATGACCTTTCAAAGATGAGGGACTTCATCAACCAACAAGCTGATGCTTACGTGGAGAAGGGCATCCTTGATAAAGAAGAAGCCGATGCCATCAAGCGTATTTACAGCAGCCTGTAACAATGGCAAAAGATTCAGGAGTCTTTAGACTGTTTCAGAAAACATAGCTTCAAACACTTCTAAGTCTGTGATTAAAGTAATTTGAGTCAAGGATTTTTAGAAAGTGATGAAAGTGCAGTAGTTAACCTTTTAGAAGTGGTCAAACATAGCTTTCTTGCCATAAAAACGATTTAAGAAGTAAAGTTGTATGTAAGCTGAGATTTTGTATATAGAATCCTTATTTCCTTATAGATTTACATTTTATAATCAGAGATATGCTGCTTTGGAAAGCCTGTAACAGACTGAATTTAAAACTGAAGCTTCTTCCCGCTGTGTCACATAGACACCCCCTGAAGAATTAGGGGGTTCTGTTTTCAAGGCATGCTGGGTATCAAAACACCTCATAGAATATGTCTGTTACAAGATGTCATTTCCATCACCAGTTCCCTTTTGGGAGTTAAAATAAATTAACATTTCCTCAAAGCCTATCTAGCATAAAGGATAGCTCTCTGCTTTTTGGCTGTTCCTGCTGGCTCTTTATCAGGCCCCACTGGTGCAGAAAGGAACCTGGAAAATGGGCATAGGAGTTGCTGGTTTCATCAGTAATTTCCCCCACTCTTAATATTTTCTTTTGGTGAATTTTCAGACATCCACTTTATTAATAGGGATAACTGTATGCTCCCCAAGAAGAAAAATGAGGTCATAAACACTACCAAAGCAAAGTAAAAATGTATGCCAGATCTGGGTTATCTAAGCTGAATTTAATCCAGGCCAACATTTCTCAATTGAGAGCAAGAAAGCCAGGCAGTAGAACAGAAACACAGAAGACAATCATTCCCTTCGTTGTGGACCAGAGCTGGTAAATGAACTTCCCTGAGGAAAAGGTTAATGAACTTGGGGTCCCTGCATCTCCTCTCCCTCAGCTACCATCACAAACACATCCCTGGAAACACAAAGTGGCCCAAGGTCCTCCTGAAATGTTAATGGGCAATGTTCCCAAACCAAAGAATGCTTTGCAAATGCATTATTCAGCATAAAGTAATAACATATTTTTCTATATATTTCAGTTGGAAATCTGAATATGATGCTCTGTGTATTAGCTGTCCCTAATCCAAATGGCCTTCTGATACTTGTCTTGAATGCTCCTGCTTGGTACCTACTTTTTGGTGAGGACGGAGAAACTTATAGGGAAATGTAAGAGGCTATTTTTCATGGGTAGGAAACCATTGCTGCTCCTCCCCCTCCTGAGTTGTAAAAATAAACAAAAACCAAAGCCTGACACACACAAAAACTAAACTCAGTATGTTCTAGACAAGCCAGTACTCACTGGTGAGCAGTAAGGGAGAGCTAAAAACAACCTATGCCCAAAATATCCTTGCCAAACACGATGAGTCAGAGCATTTTATTTTTTTATTTATTTTTTTTATTTATATATGAAATTTAT